CTTGTACTCCTGGTCTGATTTGCTTCATTTGCTTCTGAACGACACCTAATTTTCTCCATTTAAATGTGACCTCTTACCCATCTCCTACCACAGCCAAGCCATGGATGGAGCTGCTGCTTTCATTATTTTTGTTAATCTGACTAATTTTTCGCATGCGTTTGCTGTGCTCCCTGTCTGTGCAGGACTCTCATAACTAAGGAGGTCGGCAGTGTATCTCTGCGTATGAAACAGGTCGAAGAACTGTGAGTAGGATTAGCCCTTTCTGAACCATGCTGTCTCCATCCTGTCACTGTTCATCCTCCCTTTTGTTCCTTCCTTTGGGAAAGCTGCTCCAAAGAGACCTGGAGGAAGCGATTTCCGCAGTGTGGATTAGTTTAGATGAGTGTGGTGGTCTGCATCTCATCTCACTGGGCACCTCTGTGCTGCTAAATTGGTTCATGGTATTTTCCATCAGGCTGGCTTTGCTTACCAGATGAGGCTTTAATGGTATCTACACTGTTTTCTTTAAAAAGCATCTCTTGCATTCTCTGAGGTGCAGATAGATATAATACTTCGTTTATATGAAATACATACACCAAGTATTACATCACATCTGAATGTCTTAAGAGTTTGGGAAGGGTGGGGCTGTCATGGTTTATCATATAAAATAACATTCATGCTAGGTAGTCAAACAGCATTAGTTTGTTTATATGGGCTTATTTATTTAATTTCAACATTAACTTGAATTTCAAACTTGTGTTGATGTCTCCTGGAAAAAAAAAATCAAGTTTGCATTAGGATCTGGGAAGTTGCTGGGAAATCCAAAGCAAAAGTGTTCACTTGCTGTGCCTGACTGTCTTTTCATAGAGAAGGTATTTCTTGAGAATGAAAAGTGAAAGTGTTATGTAAATCTCTCAGGTGTTGCAAAGCAACTCTGAGGTAAGATCTGCTTCTAAGGGAGTTTTGCCCCAGATCCTCTGTGAGCTTTGCAAGTATTTAATACCTAAATTGTGTGCTGAGGCAAACATCTGCAGTCAGGGCAGGCTTCAAAACAGTGTTTCCTCAAGTCAGGGTAGAAAATTTCTATTCAAACCTAATATGAAAGATTCTTAGTTCCTTTCTATCCAGTCTTAAACCACAGTAGACAGGAAACCACAAAGTCTCTGTTTCCATGGAAGGAGAGCTGATCATCAGTTTGATGTATAGACATCACAGTGTCCTGAGGATTTCCTTCAGCAGGCTTTGTCATCTCTGAGCTATTGGTTAGGAAAATGCTCCAGCACTGAATTTCTCAAGCTAGGAGGTGTAACTGCTCAGTGTTTGCCCCTGTGCTGCAAGATGGGAAATGAAAACATTCCCATTTGAGGCCCCTGCAGGTATCTCAGCAGTGTCTTGTATTATTTGATTTAATGACATCAGAAGGGATTTCTTCATGGCTTAATAATGAGAATTCATTGCTGCTGTTGATCACTGTAGGAGACCAATGTGCAAACTGATTCAGGACATTAAAAACTCATCCAGATGCAGCTTTTAAAACATCTCATCATCTGGGAGACTTAAAATAGGGTAACAGTAAGAATGAGTCTTAAGGGCGTGGCTTTTCTGAATGCAGGTTTTTTTAAAGACAGGCATTTTGCATTGGTAGAGAGATCTAGTTCAATATCAATGCTGCAAAACTGCTGTTGGCTTTTTCAGCAATAGCTTGGAAAAAGTCTCGTAGGACCATCTGTGTGTAGTTGGTTACAAGGAACCAAATAGGAGACATCAGTTTTCTTGTGGTTTTAAATAACTAGCTGGTCTTTTGACCTGTTATTGACCTTTATTCACCTGTTCAGATCAATTTAAACATTTTAGAGGTTTCACTTTGCATTTATTCTAATTTAAATGAGGAGTAATATCACTGATATTGGGAATTCCACAGAAACAAAAAGTGTATGTGGAATGAGTTTCATGGATTTCCCAGTGTTATCAAAGATGTAACACTTTGTTTAAACATTCAGCTATCAAAGATACACACCTTGTTTAAACATTCAGCAGATTTTGCACTGAAAAATGGCTACTTAAGACATTTATGTACAAAAGCTGGGAGGCTGGTGGATTTTAATAACCTGATGGCAAACTTAATGTACTCTAGGGAAAAAATACCTCTTGGAAAGTAAGGGCCTGTGGAGTCATTCCTGCACTGCAGTGATGTTGTGGTTTCAGAATCTACCCTGACCTAAGCTGTGATTTTGAGTTGCATTTTCCCAGTGAGGTGTTGCATGTGGAAGATCTCATTTCGGTGTGCAATCCATGTGGAGGAGAAACATGTACAGTCTGCACTTCCCCAACTACACACGAGTGGCTCGTTCTGTAGCAGAACTTCAGGGATCCTCCACCACTTGGGAAATCCCCATGATCCTACCAGTTCAATCTGACTATGCCTTGCTTCCCTTTCCTGCTTGTTCCAGGTATCACTCCCTCCTGGAGCTGGGAGAAAAACGTAAAGGCATGTTGGAAAAGAGCTGCAAGAAGTTTATGCTGTTCCGTGAGGCCAATGAGCTGCAGCAGTGGATCAATGAGAAGGAGGCAGCTCTCACCAGCGAGGAAGTGGGGGCTGACCTGGAGCAGGTGGAGGTGCTACAGAAGAAATTTGATGATTTCCAGAAGGTGTGTTATAATAATAATAATGTGTGTGTTAGTTTTGGCCTTTCCCTTCAGGCTTTCTGATCGTGTATCCATGACAATTTCTCGTAGTTGAGGAGGAAACATGGCTTTGATCGGAAATAAAAAGGTATATAGGAATTTTTCTTTTCATATTGTGAGGATAGAGAGAATCTCACATTCAAATGTCATCAGTTTGATTACAGTCCCCAGGTTGCTGCAGGCTTCCCAGCTCCCAGAGAACTGAAACTCTTTCAATACATTCCAATATAGAATCTGCCAAGCTTTGGAGGAATTTCAGTTTGTGTAAAGCGTGACCTTCAGTTAAGCTGTTCCTCTTCCTTTGTGTTGAAAGGATAGAGGCATTTTGTTTTCCATCTGTGGAGTTTTTTCCCAAGATATGGGAAAAAAAAAAAATCTCTGCTTCAAAATGCTGGTAGGCTTTTGGATTTGGAGGTTTTCTCCCAAGGTTTGCAGTGTTTTTTTCCGTTGTGTGAGTTGTGAATGAATTGCTTGAGCAGATGTATTTATTTTGTCCACTTTGCTAAGATACTGAGCGCTGAAATGCAAAGATGCTTGACCTTAAACGTTGGAAAAGACAGTGATTTAACAGTTCTGTGGATATTCTCATGTTTAGAGCTTGAAAGTTGGCTAAGAAACAGTTAGAGCCAACCTAGTGAAAAAGGTGAAAAGACAAACAGCAGTTACTGGATTTGGGCTCTTCTAAAATAAGCTAATGGTTGCAATTAAAATATGTCACCTATTAAAACTGAAATGCAAGTTCTCCAGTACCATTTTTAGCCAAGTTTCCTTTCTGGTTCACAGAAAGCTCTCTGTGAATCAGTTTGACTGGAAGCATTTAAGTGTTGCAGTAAAATCACTTCTGAAGTTGTCCTTTAGCTAATTCAGGCAGTAACATGAGTTTGATCTTCACGTTGGCCATGCTGTGTATCTGGAAATCAAGAGTAGATTCCATTCCTGATTGTCCACTAACTTTATGGACAACTCTGAGAGTATGTTTCTTTACCCCACTGATGCCTGGCACGGGCAGCTGGGATCCCCTGGCACAGGCACTCATCCCACTGGGAATTTAAGGATTCTCTGTGCTCAATTCCTGCTGTTCTCACACTGGGCACCCCTGCTGAGCCAGTTTCTTCCACATGTTTTCCCTGGGTGAATGTTAATGCTGTTGGTATTTCCCTTTCTGTGCAGGATCTGAAAGCGAACGAGTCACGTCTGAAGGACATAAACAAGGTTGCCAAGGATCTGGAGTCAGAGGGGCTCATGGCAGATGAAGTACAAGCAGTACAGCAACAGGTCCTCTTTTTCTCTAAATTAATCTGATCTAGAGAAGCAAAAAAAATTCCTTTTTTTTTTTTTTTTTTTTGCCTGTTATCTTTGCCTGGCATTGCAAGATTCAGGCTGTTCATTTTTGCTTTCTGGTGTGATGACAGTGATATTCTAACCAGAGATGTCTAATGCCTGTTCTGTAGTGTGGCCATCACAAAAGGCCCCTAAAGTTATTTTTTTTTTTAATAATGCTAGAGCAAGTTGCACCATCTAGAGCTTTTCTTCTTTTTTTAGAAATGGAAAGTCTTTACAATAATATTAAAACTCGCAAAGGATCCATGCATTTACTTCTCTTCATATAAACTTGAAATTCAGCCTTTATTTATTTGCAGGAAAAATAATGGGGGGAAAAAGAGAAAGACATTGAGCTCAGCTTAGAGTGGAGGGGTTTTATGGGTTTTCTGTTCTGCTTTTTTTTAGTAATGTACCTATTTTTTTGCCAGCTTTTTATGTACTTGTGCTGTTTCTGTAATAATTCTGTCCCCTGCCAACAGACTATTTAGCAGATTGTTTATTTTGTGAGCTCTAAGATGGTGTGTAGATGGTCAAACAGTCACATTCCCATTCCTGCTACACATTTAGGTTGTGTGAGCAGTGTTTGGCTCAACAACATGCTGGTAGCTAATTTGTAGAGGGATGGAAGCACATCTCCTGCTATCTGTCCTTTTTAAAAACGAGGAAAAATGTTCTTTCTGTTAGAAAATAAGTTGTTTCTGTTTGTCTTTTCTCCTTTGCAGGAAGTCTATGGGATGATGCCCAGGGTGAGTGTTAATTCTGAGGTGGATGGTATGGCAATTGTACAAGGTTTGGGATGTACAAGTGGAAGTTCAGCCGTGATTGTGGTTCATTCCCATGCTGGAATTCACTAATGACCTTGAATGGACATACAAAGATTATCTTATCTTTGATCCCTTTGTTTCCTCGGTGTCTTGCCCCTCATCACAAATCTAAGCAAGCAGGATAACTCAAACTGATACAAATAAATATGTGTACAAATGTATTTACTCTGTTAAGGGTTGAACATGGAAATCTTTCAAAGATTTTTTATTTTTTAATATATTCTGATAGTTTTAGATTCTGCTTCACATTTAAAGCTGTTTCTTCACATTTTTAAACAGGATGAAACTGATTCTAAGACAGCCTCTCCCTGGAAGGTAGGTGTCATCACTTAGCAGCAACAACAGGAAAATAAAACCAAAACTACAGCACATCATCTTTTTTTGGACCATACACTTCTGTGCCACAGAAATTGCCAACAGTCTGCTTTTACCTCTCTGCTGCAAAACTATTTTGGTTTGAGCTTGTACTCTTAAGACTGATTCCAGTTTTTATACCAACATTTTTAGGTACTGCATGGCCACTAGTTCTGAAATAATCTCTGTTCACTTTGCATGAATTCTTTTCTTTCTGCTTGCTACATCAAAGAGGTTTTCATTCCTGACAGTCAAAACCATTTCTGTCAATATTCCTTTAGTAAGGAATATGCTGTATTTGTCTTCCAGTAGTCATCTCCAGCTCATTTTCTTCAATAGTTAGAAGAAGCCTTTCTCCATTCATTACTGACTTACAATGGAATTGCTGTCACCTGCTGATGCACAAAAATATCTTAAATATTTTTTACATTATCCAACATTGCGCTTTTCCCTAGTATTTCACTCCCATGTTTTATATTTAACATCCACCCTCTTCAGCCTTAAAGCTGCTTGTACATCTTTTAAGCTGTGTGAATGTGGGAAAGCCAGATCAGTGTGCAATATTTTGAGAGCATTGTGGAAAATGCACCATCTCAGTAAGAACTGGAAATTTGTAAAGGAATTTTCTGCACATATTCTAAACATGTACACTGGATTTTAAGAGTCTCATAGTAACTTAACAAACTATGATTAAGAGTTTGGGGTTTTTTAATTCATTTATTGAATGTTGCCTTTAAATTTTCCTCTCCTTGTTTGCTTCAGTTTGCACAAGACAATACTCACTTATAAATTTGAAACTATTTTTACTGTGTTCTCTAATACCTTAGGCAATTGCAACCAATTTTTCTTAATTGCTTTTGTAATTTACTTACATTGACTTTCTTATTGTTTTTTGATTTTTTTTTTTTAATTTGATTTTTAAGGAGTTGTCCCTCAGGCTGATTTTGGCTTTGGTTGGTCAGAGTTGACTCTAATGCTGTATTTTTTATTTCTTCCTTTTTCACCCAGTCTGCACGTTTGATGGTACACACTGTGGCAACCTTCAACTCAATCAAGGTAATTATACAACACTTTCTGAGCTGATTTAAAAGCTGGGAATGTTTTTTACTCTCTTTTTCCATAGTCTTTGTCTTTCATTAAGCTTCATAAACCCTTTTGAATCAACTTCCTGAAAGAAGCATTGGCATATACAGCATTTGCTTATCAAATTACATCAATATCTTACTATATAAATAGAATAATTTGGTTTTACATCTCAGGAGAAACCCTTAAATTATTTAATTAGGCTATCTGAATTTGTGCATTCTTCTGGAATGAAGCAGAATGTAGGAACCTTCACCTGCGGTGAAAGGCCAGCCTTGACTTTCTTCTCCTCTTCCTCAGGAGCTGAATGAGCGCTGGAGGTCTCTGCAGCAGTTGGCAGAGGAGAGGAGCCAGTTGTTGGGCAGTGCCCATGAGGTCCAGAGATTCCACAGGTGAGGTGTTTGTATCATATTTAGTCGTGACTCACTCAAATGCTTTTGACTGTTAAGAGCTCTAAAATATAGTGGGGCTTGTTCTAATCTTATTTCAACTCCCAGCTTGTTCAGTGGAAGGTGGTCCAACAAGAACTCTTTATATTTTACTAGGAAAAGAAAGGCTTGTTAACACTGGAAACATGGAATTGCTGTGGGCTTGGGAGGTCTGGACTAGTCTCCTATTTTGCCAAAGTTCACTTGTGTCATTTTGGGAAATATTTAATAGAGCATTAACTACATGAGCTTCTCTAGATATTGGCAACCTGCAGGTATCAGAGGTCCTGGTATGAGCTCTGTTTTAATGGTCTTTTGCCTTCCCTTCCTTCAAACCAGAGATGCTGATGAAACCAAAGAATGGATAGAAGAGAAGAATCAGGCATTAAATACAGACAACTATGGGCATGACCTGGCCAGTGTTCAGGCTCTGCAGCGAAAGCATGAAGGCTTTGAGAGAGACCTGGCAGCTCTGGGAGACAAGGTGAGATTTGTGAGGAGGACAAGCCCAAAAGCTTTCTTTTTCTCCAGCAGAAATGAGTGAACTAAAGCAAAGTTTCTGTCTGTCTTCATTATTTCCTTTTCTCTAATTCCAGGTGAATTCTCTTGGTGAAACTGCCCAGCGTCTCATCCAGTCACACCCGGAATCTGCTGAAGATCTCCAAGAAAAATGTACTGAGCTGAATCAGGCTTGGAATAGTCTGGGAAAACGTGCTGACCAGCGCAAAGAGAAGCTTGGAGATTCTCATGACCTGCAGCGTTTCCTCAGTGACTTCAGGTAAAGATTCCCCTCCTCAATTTGTCTGTTTTATTATTAGTGAAGTATATGTGGCTTATTGTTCCACAGGAACATTTCTGGGGTGGTTCAGAAAAGGACTGTTTTCCCTGTTCTGACTTCTTTCAGTGGAGGGATGGAAAAATTCCCTATTAATGTGTGTTCACAGGGACCTTATGTCTTGGATCAATGGAATCCGGGGCCTGGTCTCCTCAGATGAACTTGCAAAGGATGTGACTGGAGCTGAAGCTTTATTGGAAAGGCACCAGGTATGTGAAAGATAAGTGTATCATGAACATCAACAGATGTTTTTTCCTGACACTTTCCAATCAGAATTCCCAAAATAGATAATTTCCAGCTCTGCCATCTGGTTATTGACCAAGGCACCTCTTGCAGGAACACCGCACGGAAATAGATGCAAGGGCTGGCACTTTCCAGGCATTTGAACAGTTTGGACAACAACTCCTGGCCCATGGACACTATGCCAGCCCAGAGATCAAGGAGAAACTGGACACTCTGGACCAAGAACGGACAGACCTGGAGAAGGCCTGGGTGCAGCGCAGAATGATGCTGGACCAGTGCCTGGAGCTACAGGTATGTGCTGCAGTTTGGAAAAGAAAAATAATTCCTCTTTCCATAAGAAGGTTTACTCTCTCATGGTGGTGAGCAGTGCTCTTGGTCTGTCTTGCTCATGCTCTGGAGTTTTCTCTCCCCAGCTGTTCCATCGGGACTGTGAACAGGCTGAGAACTGGATGGCTGCCCGGGAGGCTTTCCTGAACACAGAGGATAAAGGAGACTCCTTGGACAGCGTGGAGGCACTCATCAAGAAACATGAAGATTTTGATAAAGCAATCAATGTCCAGGTGAGGAGTGTAGCTGGAGTACAGGGAAAATAGTTTAGTTTTCCTGATGTGGATTATCAGCAAAAAAAGTCCCTGCCAAATGTGACTTCTAAAGTTCAGCTCCAACTATTCAGCCATGTGAGATCTGCTGTAGATGTTTAGAAGCAGCTTATGCAGATTTTGTTGCCTACAGACAATTTCTACAGACAGTGTAGAAATAGTGGCAAATACCTGTGTAAATCTTTCACTGATTCAAAGTTATTGTGTTACTTTTTTTTTTTTTTTAAACAGAAAAAAAAGGTATATTTCTAGTCTCCTGTAACAGAAAGCTGCCTAGATTGATTGGGGGATGATACCAAGTCCGAAAGATACTTTTTTCCTAAATGCCACAGGTGAAAGGTGTTCTGAAGTTGAACTCTGCAGTCCCGCGGAAGACAGACTTCCTTTAGAGTCACATTTGCAATGCTGCGTATTTAAAGAAGAAAAAAAGCCTTATTCTGTCGCAATCACTTGATGTTAAGGAGCCACAGTTCTAATTTATGGCTTCTGTGTTTACCAGGAGGAGAAGATTGCTGTGCTGCAGTCCTTTGCTGACCAGCTGATCGCTGCAGATCATTACGCCAAAGGCGTCATCGCCAACCGGCGCAACGAGGTCCTGGACAGGTCAGTGCTGCCCTGGGAGGTGAGGTCAGGCACTGACTGAAAGGAAATGCTCCTTGGTGACCTTCTGTAGCTCTCGAAGGTGATGCCACCTGTGGATTTAGTGTTTCATTCCTGTATATTAAATTTCTACAGGTGGCTCCGTCTGAAAGCTCAAATGATCGAGAAGAGGTCGAAGCTGGGAGAGTCTCAGACGCTCCAGCAGTTCAGTCGGGATGTGGATGAAATAGAAGCTTGGATCAGTGAGAAGCTCCAAACTGCAAGTGATGAGTCCTACAAGGATCCCACAAACATCCAGGTGAATGTGGTTCTCGGCTCAAAAATTAAAATACAAGTTTTAACTTTGCAAAGCCCGCCTCTGGTTTGAAAATCCATGCTCAGGAATTCTTGTTCAGAGATAACAGTGATACATCATGTTGGACATGGTCTCCTTTTAACAAGGAGAAAATGAAAGTTATATTATGCATGAAAGGAGACCCAAAATAGAGCTCACTTGGTAATTATTCATGTGTTGTAATTAATTATTCATGCATATAATTAATAAGATATGTGGTATCTGCAGCAGCACGTTTCCTAAAGAAGCCCAGGGAAACCCAAGTAGCTGTTCTGTCTCTCTCCCATCATCTAGACAATAAAATAAGGAAATGGAGTTCTTGGGTCTCATCTCTATCTTGTTATAAAATGTGAAGTCTCGTTTATTTTTCAGTAATAAGGAATAAAGTTACCTCTTATGTTTTAATATTGGTTTATGAAGTAGTATGAATGAACTGAACTACTTCTCTCAATCTGTTTTATAGCTTTCCAAACTGCTGGTAAGTAGTTTGGACTAGCCCTGGTATGTGAATTTATTTTCTTTGCATTTCTGTGTGAGCCCAAGCTCTGGTTGCTGCTCCATCCATCAGTTCATGCAATCTCTTCGTTTTCTGTTAGTTCTTGACCTCCATCCAGGTTCAGCTGTTGATCCTGTGTTATGGGTGTGGCTTTTTTGTTAATGCCTATTCAGCATCATTTATTTATGTATTTGTTTTGCAGGTGTTCTGCATGATCTGTTTAATTTGTGGTGTGTTAGTGATATAGTGTGGGCTTTTTTAGGAGTTAGCCCATAGGAAAATGGAATTCTATCCTCCTTTTTCAGAGGTTTGGCTGTTTGGCCTGTCATCCCCTTGTCTGATCATCACTGGGGATGATTTAACACATGACATAATGCCAGTGCTGTTGGCCTGTGTTTGTAGAATTGAATGCTGAAGATGGAGGATTCAATAAATGACAGACCTACATGGCTTAATTCTTGCAGGAGTAGCATAGAAGGGAATCATACAGAAAGAACACTCCAGAAAAAAATATGTACCAGATGGAAAGCTGACAGCACTTGTAAGAATACAAGAAATGGAGTAAAATGAGGATATATGGAGGGACAAGACAGAACAAAGAAAGGGGAAGCTAATGAGTAGGAAAGGAAAGGATCATTTGTCACTTTAGGCTGTAGTACATTAAATTGCTATTACTTTTAGCTGAAAAAAAATGAGAATTTTATATTAAACTAGAAAGGCTTGTCTGTGATTTGTTGTCATGGTAATTATATGGAGATATGCAATTGGCAGCTTTTAAATTGAATTTTCCATGTTGGTAGATGTAGCTTTGAAGGATATGTTTTTGTAATCTCAGTTTTTGGGATTTACAGTTCCCAAAATGAAGCAGTTCATGCAGAATTTCTCATGCCAGCGCTATAGTATTTCCCCTCTTTTATTTTTAATCTAACATTTCCTTTCATTCCATTCTCTCAGGGCACTCTCTACCCATGTCCAATGTTCCTCACGTTTCCAGTTTATACTTGCAAATTCTGTCCTGTCACTTTTGTGCTCTTGTCATATTCCTGGTGGGTGGATGGATCATGGATATATGAGAGAGCTGCACACTCCCTCCCACACCAAGGCTCCTGTTGTTCTCATGGTGCTCTCAACTTGGCAGAGAAAGATTTTTACCAAATAATTCAGTTTGCTTTTATAGAGGTTTTTGGCTGTTAATTCATTATTTATATATATATATAAAGTGGTCGTGTATGACTTTGACTAATATCAAAACTGCAGAAAGCAGGTAGGCTGGAGCAGTGATTTCTCTTAATTACCTGTAGATTAGGAAGGGAAATAGAAACTTGTGCAGTTACTATAAGAGTAGAAAGGATGATCTGCTACACTCAGGGGAGGTGTAATGGCTGCTTTTCAAAGGGTTGCATTGAAAATGAGGAAGCTTTACTGCAGTACCAGCTCAGCTCAACACAAGCAATGTTCCACAGGCACCTGTGAATGCAGAAGGTGTTGCCTGAGTTCTGTGTATCAGCTCACCCAGAGCTTTGCCAGGTCAAAGCTTGATGGTCACTCAGAGTAAACATTCCCACTGAGAGAGAACTTCCTCAGCTCAGCCTGTGTGCAAACCTCTTGACGACAACTGAGCCCATGAGAACAACTGAGGAGCCCTTTGCTGGTCTCTGACAGTTTGGTTTTTGTCCTTGCAGAGCAAACACCAGAAGCACCAGGCCTTCGAGGCCGAGCTCCACGCCAACGCCGACCGGATCCGCGGGGTCATCGACATGGGCAACTCCCTCATCGAGAGGGGAGCGTGTGCCGGCAGCGAGGACGCTGTGAAGGTGGGAACAGCAAGTCTTCCTTAGCTTTTCCTTTCAGTGTTTGGATAACTGAGGGAGGAGAGGGTCCCTCTAAAACAAATCTTGTTTATAGAAGCTTTTGTATTTCAACCGCACAGCAGAAGCCAGGTGGATCGCTGTGCTTTGGTTCTCAGGGATGAGGAGTTTTCCTGATTTTTTGATTGGGATGTTGAACTGTATTACATTTAGGCAGCATGAAATAATGACTGTCATTTATATATCTGGAATCAACAGCCAAAGTTGCACCATATTCTGGCTTTGCATTTATGAGAACTTTATTCTTTTTGGTGTTTATTTATCTTTTCCATTTTCTCACAGGCACGTCTGGCTGCCCTGGCTGACCAGTGGCAGTTCCTGGTGCAGAAATCAGCAGAGAAGAGTCAGAAACTGAAAGAAGCTAATAAACAACAAAATTTCAATACTGGAATCAAGGACTTCGACTTTTGGCTTTCAGAGGTAATTAAGATGGGAATTAATTACTTGCAAGACTTGTTTTTCTAATTTTTCATTCCCTTTGCTGATGTTAGGGTTTGTGGAGGATTGTCAACCTTTGAGCACGTCTAGGTTTATTTTTTTTTTAAATCTTTATTACTAATAAAAATCTTGTGAATGTGTCCATGTTATTAAACTGTAAGGTGAAAAGAAGCAAATTTGCACAGAACCTTTTAGGTATTAAAAAGATGACAAGGGAAAGGTTTACCCACACTGTAGAAAATTGAGAATTTGGACAGTTTTAAAGCATTATAATTTCAAGGAGTTTGTGAAAACACAATTTGGTCCCCATTCCTTTTTTCCTTCTCCATCTCCAGGTGGAGGCTTTGTTGGCATCTGAAGACTATGGGAAGGACTTGGCATCCGTTAACAACCTTCTGAAAAAACACCAGTTACTGGAAGCTGATATATCTGCTCATGAGGTATTACTTTCTCTTCGGTTTTGGGAGATAAATCATAGTCATAAATTCTATAGTTACCACTTTGGTACCTGCTGCAGTCACAGACTTATTATTAAAAACTGACAGGGTCAGGTTTTTTTTATTAAAAACTGAACAGTCAGGGTCTGATTTGTATCCTGACACAACAAGCACAGGAATGAGATCCAAGCGATTCCCACTTTCTCTCCCCCACGTGTC